AATTCATCGATAATTGCAATTGGTGGTACCAGTGGTCGAGAATTTGAAACTGTACAGTTATTAACTAAAATACAGTAGAGGCTGGTATGCTGCTGACCATAGCTGCACGTCCAGTGATGGTAAACGGGCTCGCCAATTTCAACTTGCCTGCAATTAATTGTATCTTTTTTTGCATTTATATTTCTTAGATGTGGCAGCATTCCAGTAAGATTAGTCATTATAAATCATTGTTATTTAATTTTTTAGTTCTTAAGCTGTGCCATGACGGGCATCGCAAATCGGTAAGTGGTACCCAATCGTGCTAAGCGCATATCTATAAAAATTAGTACTAGCTGGCAAATGCAGTAGAGGATTGAAATACTCTCCTTCTTTCCTTTCAGTGTCTTCTCGATTTTTTTCCCCCGCCCTCTATCTCTCTATCTTGCAGGTTCATTTTCACTTGCTGCTGCATAACGACAAAAATATGTATCGTAGGATAGAAACTGCATTTTTAAGTTAAAAACAATAAACACAAGCTGTTTTGGGATTTTTCCTTTCTTTTTTGTCTCATATATATTATAAAAACAGAACTCATCCTTTTCCTCCCTGTTTTCACTGTTATTCTTCCATCTCTTCCTTCACTTCACGTCCCCCTCCATAACGAGATAATCCTTGTTATTTAAACAAGGACGTCAGTGATTTCCTCCTCCAAACAAAATTTAGAAAAGCAAAATGCAGGGATCCCCATCAAGACCATCCGTTTTCGCTTTAATGCCTCCTCATACGTTGAAAAATTGCCTTCTCATATGAGTCAAATGCGTTAATCAATGCATTTAAAAGTGGCAATTAATTTTTTGTGGCAAATTTTGGGAAGTAACGGCGAGGCAATCTGTCCAAATAATTGAACGTTTGATGAAACCAAAAGATATCTGTTTTTTTTTTGAATGAAAAAGAAATTTTGCCTCAGAATTGAGGTCTATTTTTATCGTCTTTTAAGTCTGAACTGACAGTTATGGGTCATTTTTGGGCAGCACGAAAAAAGAAGACACATTTCCCAAAATGAGTTTAAAAGAGATTTATTTCAAATCTCTGGACCAACACGATGAGTTTAATTCTCTCAAAATTTCATTTTCCTAGCTTTAGTATTTCTGGCGTCGAGAATTTTTGAAATTTTGCCTGAATGAAGACTGTTTTTTCACTTTTTTTCCTCTTAGTGAAAATAATATAATCAATTTTAGCATTCCTGGAAAATAAATCTTAACTTTCCATGGTGAGGTTGCAAAAAAGTGACTTCACTTCTCTGGATATCGATATCAGAAGTTCTAGCACAAAGTTTCAGCTTTCTAGCTTCTTGTAAGTCTGGAAGTGAATTATCGTAGACTGACGGAGCGTCTTGGATGTAAAAAGATGCGTGCTTGCTAAAATCACTTTTTCGATTTATTCAAAAAAGGCTCAACAAAAAAAGCACCTTTTTAGCTCGGAACCATTGCGATCCCGATAGCGTACATGATATTTGCATTCCGGTTCCGGAAATTTACCAATTGGAAGATTAATAACATCGCCATCCAGGATATCATAATTCTCGTAGCTACTAACTAGACCTAATGTTGCGGTGCCGGAAAGAAGAAGTAATAGTCGGACCGGAAACAGTTTAGCCAAAAATGTTGTATCGGCTGAATCGGTCATTTTACTGGTCATTTTCCCGCATTCGTCCAGTAAAAACGAGTTTTTTTTTTTCGTTTTCTCTATGCTTACTCCCTCAACACTCGCACTTCCTGGATGTACTCGAGCTACTGAAGATGAGGTGCTGCTGCCGTTGGATTGTTTGCTACTGCTCCAACCACTATAACTACATCAATAAGCGCAATCCAGGCAACAGCTTCCACATTCTCGATTGGCAGAGAGAGAGCGACAACGACGGGGGGCGACAATGACAACTACCGCAAAGTCTGGTTCCAAGTGATCATCGTCCGGGCCCCTCCCTCGCTGTCGCCGGCAATACTACTACTACTCTGGTGCCTCCTTGCGTTTCCCGAAACAAATCGTTTGTTTCCCACCCTCTCCCCCAGTTCCTCCCTACACGCTGTCTGTCCTCCAAAATTGAATTCAAATTTCGCCCGAACATCGTTGTCGAAGAGTCACGTTACCCCCCACAACCCCCTCCAGTTACTGGCTGTTGAAGCAGCTGCATGTGGCATGCCCCTCGGCGCTGCATGTTTTTTAACTCATTTTTGCCGTTAATCGCATTGTTCCTGCACTGGACAAGCACCACTCAAGCGTACTGTCCATTGCTCTGGAATTCCAAGCAAACACTCGGCTATGAAAATGGTATCCAGGTAATTTTTTTTTCGCACTTTCGGAAAAATTCATTTTTTTCTCAAAAAAATGAAAAGTGCAAGCGATTGTAATTGAGTCTTCTTTTTTAAAGTTTAACATTAGAATCAAAGATGAGGGTTAATCTAAATATCTCAGAAATTTCCGTATACATATATTATCCTCATCCTCTTGAGAAGAAGCACGGTCCATCATCCCAATCTTTTTTTTTAAATTTAATATTAGGTTCGAAGATAAAAGTTAATGTAAATACCACAGAAAATTCCCTAAGAAAAGGCACGGTCCACGACTCCAAATCGTCTCCAACCAGAACACACGAATGACCGCACCGCGGCTGTAGCGCAGTTGCGCATCCTGTAATTTTACTAGAATAGCATATTTATGCAATACCTGCACAAAATCTGAGTTTGTCGAATTTTATACGCTTTCAGTGAGTAAGTAATATATAAATATAAGATAAAAATGGTAGAAGCTGAATTTTTGCTGTAGAATAGGTTCAAATGCAGGTATTATGCAAATATGTTGTTTGTAATTTGTAAATGTTTGACGAAAACCGTATATTATCAAAAATTTGGGCAATTAAAATAGATCTGACGAATAAAACTTATGTGCTGAAGTCTCTGTACATCATGTGTTTAATGATGGTACTAGAGCAGACCCATTTTAACAATCTTTTGCCAGCCGTCGTATCACAGTAGGAAGTAGTACTGTTGCTTTGCAGCAGGTCGAGGGTTCAGCTCCTCCAAGTGGCACTACAACTAGCTCCTCTATGATTCGATTGCTCCTTTATTTGTCGGGCATAATTGCTGACGGGCTTCTTATTCGGTGGGCAAAATTATTGGCATAAATCACTTTTTTTTATTTGTTAAGCAAAATTATTGGCGTAAATTATTTCTTTCTCCTTGTTTGATGAGCAAATTTGTTGCAAATCAAATCATTTTTCCTTTATTCGTTTAGTAAGAATGATACCTGTTATTTTTTGAGCAAAATTTTTGCGAAAAATTATTTTTTTCCTTATTCGCTGTGCAAAATTTTTGCTTGCTTCTTTTATATGTAAAGAAAAACTGCTGCCGAGGATCATATTTTGCCGAACAAATAATCTTTTAAATGTGATTACGCTGCATTATTAGCACAAGTTCGACTCTGTTATT